CCCCTCCCCCCACACACAAATCTCCCATTTAACCAAGCAATCCCTCTGTTCTTAAAGCTACTCTTTGGCTACTTCAGGCTCTTTCAGTAGTGTTAAACCTGTGTTTAAAAATAACTTGAAATACAGCTGACAGGCAGGGGGGGCGGGGGGAAGCAGAGATTATGAAGTGGGAGCAACCGGACCCTGCAGTCAGCTGTTAGTTGGGCTACTTTACTATGCACGCTTGATCTTAGCCAAAAGGCCAACAAGCAATTGGGGCTTCTTTAAAATCTTCTTCTGCAAGGATGCTAAATCCATATTCAAAAGCAGCCAGAACATGGGTGTAGCACTTGTTTAAAATAATGCTAAACTTGTATTTCACAGTAGACAGAAATCCAGCTGGCAGGCATTAGCAAGTTGACTCCTCACTTCTCCTGCCACACCTTGTAACCTTGGCTGACAGGGCTGGGAGGTGGCAGGAGAATCTGGAGTCTTGTCCTACCTCCCAGGAGTTTGACCTGTGGCTGACCCATGGAATCAGGAAGAGCTTCTCCTGCTTCACCAGGCGGCCCCTGCCCAGCCCATACATCAGCATTCTCAGTACCAGAATGTAGACACCTAGGTCTAGCCATCTATCACTTCCTGTCTTAGAGGCAACCCTCATTAGAGAGAACAATTGATTCCACTGAGCATTACCTGGAAGGTAATGCTCAATGGAAGAGGAAGCAAAGCCAATTTGCTTAACTTGTCCTGTGTTAAAACTATATGGGCAGCACTAGTTGCCAGCCAGAAGAACATATTTTATTGCAGCATCCTTCTCTGCTGGCTCAAAAACGGGCAAACTGCATGTTAATATGGCTAACCAGCTGTGCCCTTTCATACATCCCACCATCTTCATGAGCAATGTGAACTGAAGGAACCGTTCAGCACAGCATTCTTTCAGATCCTTTTCTGAGGCAGGGCTTTGAAGAATTTGATTCCATTACAGGCTACATATTCCAGCTTTGCGGATTCAGATGAAACATTTATGATAACATCTGAGCTTCACATAATCCCAGAAACATTTCCATGTGAGGACTGCGCTGGAGAAGCGTGCTATGGCAAACTGGTCTGAGAACTTTCAACTAAACTGGAAGATGCCTTTAATGATCAATAAGGAGCACTCAGAAAAGGGGCAGTAGAACCATTGCTGGAATAACCTAGTACAGAGAGTGGGCAGTGTAGCTTTTCAGATGTTGCTGGGGCTGCTGGAAGTTGTAGTTTAGCAATCTCTAGAAGACCACAGCCTCCCCATTCTTCGCTTAGGTGGTCTGATTCACATATTTTGCAATAAAATAAAGCAGGCTATTTTCTAGGAATATTCTGTGAATCATAGTAGTAACAAAAATGAATGGATATAGTTGCCTTCAAATGATTTGTCTTGTTATGATTTCTCCCCAATTTTCCACTCTTTTACTTAATAAAATCTTACTCTGCATCACATTTGGCTAATTGGAATTAATATGTGTTTAATATATAGTAGGGACTATAAGGGAGCTGTGGCTCAGCAAAATGTTTGGCAATATGGAAGTAAAGAGGTCGTGTTGATCTGATCTGCTGTATGTGTGAAGAATCTTTAAAGACAGGGCAGAATTGAGACATTTGTTACCCTTTGTTATATAACACAGAGGAACTGCAAAAAACTTACATTGCCGAAAACACTGACACACACACACACCCCAGCTACTCATTTGATGGTTTGTTAAAGATTCAGGTGACTCTTATCACACTTTATATACAGAGGGAGTGTGTAGCATTAATTTGTAAATCACAGTTAAGTGCAATTGGAGAAAAACAGACTCAGGAATATTCCCAACAGTCTTCAGAATGCATTTGCATTTATCAACAGCTTCTCCTAAAAATGTGGTCCAATATGTTGGTGCCACTACTAGCAATATGTCGTCTATTTATTAATTAGTAGTGGCACCAACATATTGGACCTGCAAACAATTCAAGGAGGTAGCAGATGTTTCTAGTTCCCAAATGCCAAAAATCTATCACCGTTCTTGCTGTTCTCTATAGACTCTTTAGAGGGCAGCTGGCACAGATCAAATGCAAGAATCTTCAAATAAAAATATAAAGGCAGGTTATAGCACTTTTATATTTACAAGGTGTTATAATATATCCCCAAACTTATTGGGGGAGAAGGAAGAATGCCTGCACGTTTTACAGAGACACAGTAGGGGAAAGTGACAGCATAAAGTCTCAGAAGCTTCCTGGATACCATCCTGTCAACCTTACCAGGTAGACCAGACAGGAAACACAACCAGATGAGCTAATTTTACTTTACTGTAAGGCTACATTAACAGAATCTTGCAAGTCTGAAAGTACAATTCTCTCTCTGTCTCCTTTACATCCTAATAAATTAGGGAGAGTCTCTTCTGAGCCTTTTGCCCCGGCCACTATCCAGCTGTGGGCTATGCTCTCTTATCTGATTATTCCCTAGGCAGCATCTCTGGGCCCATCTCCCAAGGTCATTCCCACATACCATTACACATCCCAACTTTAATTCTTCCCTTGCAAACTACTTATAAGCTGTCAGGTCTTTCTCTGCTCCATCCTCTGAGTTTCCATTGTGCCAGTTTATAAGCTTTGCAGCTTCGATTATACATTCACGCAATCTGCTCAGTGTTGGTTTACTTAGAAGTTTATTCTTGCAGATTAAACTTCAGCTCTGGATCTGTGGCAAGGAGAGCCCTCTTGTGATCAAACATCATCACTGAAGGATTTGCCATGATGGAAAGTTCCAATGAATCCTTTTGGGTTTTGGTGAAAAGTGAAAAATCACTTCCGAAACCACACAACGCTGTAGATTTATTTTTTTGCTTTGGTGAGTAATCTGTGCTCCCATTGAAAGGGATTCACATCATCCCCTCTCACTTCCTGTATTCTCAGTATGTTAGGTTATTAGATAAACAGAACTGTTGCCATGCCAGCATCAACAGTTTGGAAAGCAGTGGATTGCCATCATGGTGAGCACAGAAACAGAGAGCAAATCATTAATTTTTTTTATGGAGATGATGTGTTTTTCTGTTCATGGATAAGACTGGTTGGCAAGCAAGTGCAGACACCTCACTTTCTGTGCTCAGCTAACTGGCCATAAAGGTTGGTTTGCTGGCAGTTTTCTGTGAGTCTTTGGACTCACTAACATGTAAATATGCCCATCCTTGGAGCATTCTTGTGCCCAAATAGACTTGAAACGGTCAGAACAGCCAAAATTAATTTTGGGCAAGCTTTAAAAGAAATCCAGAAGGGTTAGAAAACCGAAATTCTTGTCATCTAAAGACAACCGTGGAGAATCAAAATACACCGATTTGCTTCTTAACTCTTTTTAACAAGGGAGTTTTCAATGGAAGCTGACATTGGCTGGATTTTGGAAACTTGAACCATGCAAAATTTCATTTACGAGCATATCTCTAGATACCCACCCTTCCCCTGTAATAGTTCAGTAAGCACTCTAAGCTTTACTTTTTAAAAATCTTCTAATTTAAAATTATGTAAGTTTTGACTGGGAAATATAGTCCCAACACATCGTGAGGGAATCAGGCTGGTGAAAGGCTGATGTGAGCCATTATTCTTTCTCTGCCCTGGACCCTTTTTCAAGTGATTGTCCTAAACAGCATCCAAATGAGGCTTTTAAAAATATTATTGGAATATTGGAATGCTATTAATGGAATTGTATGCGAGGGTCTAGATCAGCGTTTCTCAACCTTGCTGACTTTAAGATGTGTGGACTTCAACTCCCAGAATTCCCCAG